ATAATAACTATAACAGACTTCACAGGATTCTTTACAGAAAGCACCTTTGTAGTGATTAAAGTCGTGCTGCTGCAACTCAAAATTGAATAAAAATTGAATATTAGAATTTAATAGTATTTTCTTATAGAATCAAAGGTACTACAAATGGATTATTTTTTGCAATACGATAATTTGACAGAATTCATGGAAATAAAAATTCTAGATAGCCACCACATAATGTGTACTATCAATGTTTTTGGTGCAATATTTTGAAAATTTTTATGTATTTTTCCATAATTTCTGTCAGGCATAATTTCCCATTGAAAATAAGTCTTGATCATAATTTTCAAAATATTATAAAAATCATAAAAATTTTAATATTTTGTGAAATCTGACACAACTTGACTTTGCTATTCAAAGATCCTAAACAACACATTTACTACTACAACAGTTTGCGATTTCCAATGATTTGCAAAATTCACGGAACTTTGTCTCATGTAAAAAACAAAGTACAATCAACAGAATATGATTAGTGGAATTGATTACATAATAAAGTGTACTTGAACTTGGGGAATTTTTACTTGTTTTTCAAAATCCTATCACCTCCAGAAAACTGTACGTACGTAGTATGTTTGGCAAGTATTTTAAAATGTTAAATTTTAGTATAAACAACACACTATTCTACGGCTTCAACTGTAACGTTTCAAAAAAAGCTCCTTTTTAGTAAAAAGGTACATTGCCATCTAAAAGATTGAAGCCGTCAAATCACAATGCATTTACAAAACCATTGATACCGTTCATACTATTCAAGTGAGAAATACTTCTTGTTTTCAATCACCGTAGCAACACTCACAAGTAATTTGCAAAGCAATTTCAGAATTCTCAAAATAGAATTTCATTTTATATATTTGTACAATAGTGCATCACACGTATAACTCTTTTGCCCGTTTTGGAATTCATTACATTTTTTCGAATCAATATAAATTAATAATAAGAACGTGTATGTATGAATGTCGAATCAAGCGTAATTTACGAGGTGACGGAGTAACATTTTTGTAAAATTAGAAAAATAACTGCCATTATTACAAGGCAGTTTTCTGGAAATTGAAATTTGATAATGGGATAATAAAATGTTCAAATAATTATACAAGCTCTGTCAAGTATTCTGTCATGAGTGTTAAACATAACATGTTATTCACAGATCCAAAACATCCATTGCTACATACAAAGACAACTTGACCTCAATTTCAAAACACTTCAGTTGACCCACTTTTCAAGTACAATTAGATCACACAAAACATGTTTGTACAATTTAGCCCCAGGCAATTCAGATTCAGTTCAATGCTGTAAACATAATTATCACAATAATTTTTGAAAGCGTATGTATTTCACGTTCAGAACTTGAGCAGATTTTCCCCGAAGTGGAGTTTGACCTCTACAGGATGCAGGTTCGCACACTGCATGTGAAAGTACAGTACTATAATTGAGCGCTCCCTAGACAACAATGTACTGTAAAAATACTTTATTTTCGCTTGGAATTAATTTTCACTATTTTCACTGAAGGAATGATTCAGTGAAAATAAAATCCAGCGAATATACCTTTTTTTCCTATATTTTACATTCAACTTGTCAAAATCAGTAAAAATAAATTCAGTACAAAACACCCAAAAAAGTCTTTTCAGCGAAAATTAATTCCAGCTAAAATAAAGTATTTTACAGTACATATGCCACACTATAATTGAGATCTCCATAGACAACAATGTAACAAGTTGCAAAGTAGGGTTGGGCTTTTTATGCATCACAGACCAATGAGTCCTGTGTATCCAAAGTTTAGAATAATTGAAATAATCGGTTTTGAATTTTTTTTCAAATCAGTAAGTGAATTGTAAACATTATAATACATAAAGCATTATAGTCCTCTAGCTGCATTGTTTTCTATGTGGGTGTCATTCGATGAATACAACACAGTTATAAGAATCATTCATGTTCCTGTCTACCATTTTGGGATTGTTATTCACAGAAATCCCACTCCCAAAGAATTAGTTATTTATTTTTGGGTCACTATAGTGGTGTTCATGTGAGTGAACGATCAGGACCAAGTCAGAGCATGACGAAAAAAACTTAGAGTCAGTTCGAAATTCAACGCGTCCTAAGATTTGCTGCTCGAAAGCTCAACACGCACTGAAATCACATCCTTGGAGGTGAACTTAAGAGAATATAAACTGATTATTCAACAAAATTCTCAAGTTCAATTAAATTAAATTGCTTACATTGAAGGTTTGCGAAAAATAAGCATCAAAACATGAAACGCAAAAGACTTTTCGAGCAATATACGACTTGCAACTATTTTAATTTACAATTCATAACTTCTGATTTGTCAACTGATTTACACAAAGGGTGCCCAGACAACGATAGATAAGCATAAACCAGAGTTGGATGCAAAACCAGCTTAATTCAGTCAACTTGATTGAAATGTCTAATTTAATATTTGTAGGAGAAAAGAATTTTCACATGAATTTTTTTAGTTGAGTTAAACCCATTTTGTTTCAAATGCCATAATTATTACATTTTGGGAATTTTCTTGATTTTTTTTTATAACTTTGAACCATATACTATATAAGAATTTGGTTTAAAGGGGTCATATTGAATTTTTCAGAAGGTCACTCTAGATAAAAAATTTCCTACATTTTACGAAGCCAATGTGGCCAGCAAATGAACTATAAAACATGGCGCATTGCACAATCCTTCTAAAATGGTCATACACAACGTATTAGTCGCAGTTAATTTTGAACAGTTTCATCCAATGAGTTGCAAACACGTTAACAAGGCTACAATAATGTTTCCAATTATTGTTCAGATTATATATATTAAACAAATACATGTATAATACAAGTTTGGTCCAACCCTGAAATTGGTATTGGTATAATTCAAAATATTTTTAACAAGTATTATATTCTGTAAATTGCTTTGATTTGATATGAGATAAATTTTCGTGAATTTCGTGAGTCAATGAAAATTGTGAAACTATGTGAAACTGTGATAATTTCTCTGGTTTACCTAAGATGCAGATGTGTAAATGTCATAAAATTCTGAAACCCTGAGAATATTTCTATAAGTGCAAATTTAAAACGGCTTACATATGGTGGAATAAATAAATATATTCGTCTATTTGGCTAGTATTTATTCTTTGTTTTAGAACACATTACACCTGATCCTAGTGCTTAGGAAAAATAAAAGAATACATATCCTTTCTAATAATTGATATGACTTAGATGAGGTTAGACACCAAAAAAAAAAAAATTACAATTTGGACACTTTCTACAATTTTGTGTTTTTTGTCCAAATTCACTTTCAGTGCTAGTAGGTCTTGGACATTACACATTAGCCATTTCTAGATCTATACACATGTACACATGTATTAATGTCTCATTATAACTAGTGCCGACACTATTGATGAAATGTCTGCTGTGAGACAAAGCAAATGTAGTAGGGGACATATTTTATGAGTGATAAATCTGTTCAAAATTATTCCCACACAAATACACATTGCTAATATGTACAGTAAAAACATTGATATGCAATATGTGCACTGATGATAGTTGAAAAACAAGATAATAACTATAATTTCAACCATAATTGGCAGAGTTTGTTACAACAATACAAAGACTATAATCAGATTTGTCACTGAAATGTTACAATAACCGCAGTATAGTATTGCTTTCAATCATCCCAAGGGATATCATTTTATGATTGACAGGCACGAACCAAGCACGTCCCTAGACAACAATACATCAAATATTACCGGTAACCCACCTGACTTCACTGACAGCAGTGGATTTCAAAACAAACCACAGCTGAAACTGAAATTCATTGACATGTTTCATTATGGAACTATTTTTTTTTTTTTTTTTTTTTACAGTTGAACAACTTTCGCAATTCTCTGAGAAGAAATCATGCTAAATTTCGATGCAGGTGATGCTTTGCCGTAACTCGAGCGAGGTTATTGATTGAACACTATTGCTTGCAAATGAGGGGGTTTTATAAACTCATTAACGACCCACTCACGAGAGAGATGTCTGAGATGGCTATTACGCTTTCAGAACAGATTGCGAGGTCCTGCACATAAATTGCATGCATAATCTAGGTATGGTTTGCTTTGCTTCGGAAGCATGTGTAGCTGCAACTGCACCAGGCATATAAAAGAATACCTGAGATCAATTTGGTCCTTCTGGTTTTAAAACTTAGATGAAAACAATCAGAATTAGGATTAGGATCAGAGGTACAATGGTAAGTCTTTCCCAGATTCATCAGTTGTAATCACTATATTATAAAATCAATATTTCAATCACCCGCAATTTTTCATAAACATAGATCCAAATGTGTTTTAATAGCAAAGTTAACAGAGGAGTGTGGGGTGTGAAAATCACTTAAATTTTACAAATCATGTAAGAAATGTAACAATTAATAATTAGTTTTTATATGATATATATAAAATTATTTCCATTCAGACTACTAGTATTTCATATTTCGTTAATAACGAGCGAGTAAGAAACTTTGAATACCAATACCTATTAAATAATAACCTCTGTACAAAAACAAAGGAGCAAAATATACCAAACTATTATTATATCCCTAAATTGATAGACTACTTCCAGGATACGGTTTCGGTTGATTTGTGGTTTCTGTTAATTTTTTTTTTTTTTAGTTTCCACTTTTATTACTAAGTGATGACGGCAAGTCCCACCCATCCATACAGGAAACCCCCTACCCATCTTACCGGGTGAATACTTTTTGAAGCGCGAGTTTATGGATTTTACTTCCGACCTATCACCTACATTTTTGTGGTATTTAGCGGTTGCTTTATTAAATAGTAACGATTTTATCACTGATCATGACTTTACCATGCTGTTAGCCGTTTTTTTTTCCTCCGGGTTCTGGGAGACTCTTAATGGTACTAATCTCGTATCTAACATTGAATCGATCACGGTCACATTATTGTTTACATCACAGAGTTCACTTACCCGGAGCTCCACAATCAGCGCAAACTTCTCCCGGTGTTCGCTGTTTTCCCCTCATAGCCATAGTTTACTTAGAGAAAACGACAGCAGAGGAATCCTGATACCGGCGATCTTATCGAACAAAATACAGTGAAAGAAATGGCTGTCAAAAGCAGGAAGTCACTTCCCCCTGCGTCTGGTTCCAAAATGGCCGCTGTATATCTGACTGCGCATACTCAGTTGAATGCCTTATTGGAAACCCCGCCCACTACTTCCGCATTCACGTAAACTATTCAAAACTGCCCTAAGCGGTGGCGTCCTTGTCCAAGAACCGCAACGGATTACGTAGAACTTATTGTATACTAGTATCCTACCGCCGTTATATAATATGTTAAAATTCGAATAAACAAAAATATAAATATTTACTGTTAGTAGTCACTGAGTGGTCTTGAAAAGTTCCACAGAATATTTAAAACTTTGAAAAACTATAAAGATTACAGAAGTGTTTTGTTACTTATGGTGAATCATCAATGCGTTATTCAATTGTACGATACAATATTTGATAGGCAATTGAAACGAATGGAATAGATAGGCAATTGAAACGTATGGAATAGAGTAGTGGATTATCAGGGGGGGGGGGGTCATAGTAGTACTCGTTCACGTGTCCAAGACTATTTTAATTTAAAAAAAAAAAATATTTTCAGGTGTGCACCACTCGAAGACTTTTTTTCCTGTACCGATTTTGTGTTATACATATACTTCCGGGAGGTTATATTACCATGCATCAAAAATACAAGCAAGCCAGGCTTAGTTTGTATTAGCGCCCTCTATGAGTCAATTTTTAGTGCTAGCAACTTCACCTGTGGGGGCGATATATAAACATCAGATTGAATACGGAACAAGTTGTAATAACGTGTTCTAGTATAATTCTCTCATGTATCTGTGTAGGGCACAGTACTAAAACATGCATACGACAAATGCTTCATTAAAACAGATGAACCTACCAGTGCAATAAATTTACTAATGAATTATTATGCAACTAGTGCCCAATATACAATATTTGGCGAGTGACAGAGCTGACATTTTAAAAGCCAGAGACAAAAAAATATTTGATAATCAAGTCTAAATTTTTATTGTCTTGATTGCACCAACTTAAGATAAGTACATTCCAACATAGTATACAACACAAGGATTACAAATATATAAAATAATGCGACCATAGTGTACTGCAGAATTGCAGCTGTGTTGAAGCGTACTAGTATGCAAGGCAGAATTTTATATGTTGAAGAAAAAACCTGCCAACAAGCAAGCTGCTCTCTGATTGGTCTGATTTTTAGGTGTTTGGGTAAGGTAGCCAATCAGACACAATCTTGTAAGCAGCTTTGTATTGATTCCAAACCTGTAAAACATGTCAGAACTCTAGTTTACTGTAAATCAATTTTATGTAACATTAGTTACATCGCATGGGACTAGTTCTAGCACAACGTGGTATGACAACCGCGTTGTTTCAAACTGTTACATCAATCAGGAAAAAATGTGTGTGTCACTAGGCAACACATTTTACCAGTACACATGTACACACATCATGGGACCCATATCAAAGTAGTGAACGCAAACACTTAACTATTGAGTCAGGTCAGTCCCCATGCCACACATTTATCGATCTTAAACACTGAAATGCGAGTTCCATTATAAAGAGGAAAATAAATAAAAATAAATAAATACATTTGCACACATTGTGGTATATAACAATAAGGATATGTCGAGATAAGTTCTTTAATTCTATCGTTGGCAGGAATGCAATCTTATATTATATATAATAGAAAACATCTTTAATTATCATACATTTAAACTACAATATTTTAACTTAGATTTGTCTTGATTAGTGAGTGCATAGTATATATACAGCATTGATATCTAGGTCATTACTTATAAAGGGAAAACATCTGTACTTAATATTCATCAACAATGTCCGG